TATTTATTTATTAATTTTTTTGTTGCAATTAAATCTTAGCGAGATATCCGAATGAATGAGGTACCACCGACGCGCGTTCTTTTTTCGCATAAGTTGCGAAAAACACACGCTCCTTACGTCTCGATCCCTTTTTCTTCTTCTCTTTCTCTCTCGATCCCCTTGCCCCCTCCTACTCCTCCTCCTCAATCTTTTCCGCCATTGGTAGATGGCGGTTACATTGCATGGAATTCCGTTCGCAATCGTTTCTTCATAAGTTTTCTCTGTTGGCGCCTTTTCTACGTGATTTCAAACATGTTTTTCCGCGTACTTATATCGTTTTAATGACTAGCAGAAAAAAAACAAAGATTAAGAGAGAGAGAGAGAGAGAGAGAGAGAGAGAGAGAGAGAGGAAGAGGAGAAAATCGCGAACTGGTTTTACACGATCGCGTAAGAATTCCTAATCTTGAAAATCGTTAACTATAACGTTCACCACTCGAGTTTCTTTCTTATTTTCTTGTTTTTTTTTTTTTATATCTTTTTTCTCGAACATTAAAGTAAAAAAAACAAAAATATCTGTTCTCAGTTTATTCCGACAAAACGAAGAAGAACGTTCGGAATAATAATCGTCTTGGTGCATTATTACTTTTTGTATTTGTCTTTTTTTCTCTTCTTCTTCTTTTCTCTTTTTTTTTTATTTTATTTTCCTTGCAACACGAATTTCTCAATCTTCTTCTTTGCCATGTATCTTGGCGAGGACGATGATTCACCGTCTTCTTTAATTCGCGTGAACTTGTCGCTTGAGGCTAATTAGACGGCAACGTAAAACGAAGTATTAAAAAGAAAGGACGTACATTGACCCCCTAGTCTTCTTAATAAGTAGTACATACTTGCATAAATTTGTATATAAAAGTGTATACTCTTTTAAATGGACAAATTTTCTTTTCTTATTTTTTTTTTCTTACATACTAGAAGAATTTTTTCTAAAGGGCTCGTGTTAGGCCACGTTACCTGTTTAACGCACAGAATTACGACACTTTTTCTTCTTTTTCTTTTTTTTTTTTCTTTTTTTTTAGAAAGAAAAAGAGAAATCGAGAAGTTTGATATACACCTGGGTAGAAAGTAGGAGAGTTGAACTCTTTCGTTTAAACAGGGTCTCGTTTGTAGAAATAAAATTGTCCTTCGAAGGTGTTAAGATTGTTTATTGCAATGAAGTACTTTATTATATTACAAAGTAAATGCGATAATGTTATTACTGAAGATCAAAAGGAATAATAATAATAATCTCTCGTATAATATGGCGCGTTCAGATAATTAATAAATACTGATTTATAATTACCCTTGGTGGTTTGTGTTTACAGAAATTTATCCTACCGAATTTGACGTCATATATTACACGAGTTATATGTAGTATATTATCAAAAATAATTCATTTGATAATATTATTATTAATAATCATAACGAACAATCATTTATCACTTATCATGGGTTTCCTAGAGTTGATTTATAATCGTGCAATTGTCTTGTTTCTAGAGAATTGCCATCCTTTTGTATTTGTGATCATATAAAATAAGTAATTTAATTATATTACAAAACAAATGGAATAATAATTTTTCAAATAACAACGGTATCCGAATGTTCAAATAAGAATCGATGTATAATTATTTGTGTGGAAAACGTAGTGAACTTTTTCTTAACAAAATTTCGTTTATATCCAATTATTTCTTCGAGGTTATAGGTCGTATCATATTAAACAATATAAAATTTAATAATTATACCATTACTATAACAATTAAAACGAAGTATAATTTCTCGAATATCATGGTGTCCGAAATATAATTGTTTCTATTCGTTTTTACAAAATGATTCTCCCAAAATGAGAACTATACAATAAAATAAGTAATATATTATATATTACATTGCATAATAAATTATACATATTAATATATTATATGAGAGAGAGATAGAGAATAATTGAAATCATTTGAATAATAATAATAATAATAATAATTAATTTATCATAATATAACCAAATATTAAATTGAATAATACCTCTCACATTACTATTAATAAAATGAAATATATTAAAAATATAAATATTACGAATATATCCTTTTTATAATCTTAGTTAATATTAAAAATAAAAGTTCTCTCTCCCATAGAGTGTAGTTATAAAAGTCGTGTTCTTTGAGATAGAGAGAAAGAAACTGGCGTAAATTGTCGAAAGATGAAGAAGGTGGTGGTGGTGGTGGTGGATTCGCTAACTCCTCTCGATCCTCCGCAGCTCGTTTCGTTCCTTTATGATCCGGCTTTTCTGCAAGGCCGTGCGTTAAACTCTCTTTCGCTTTCGTCCTTTAGCTCTTTCCATCTTTCTTTAACTGGTGTGTGTGTTGGGTGCTGTTGCTGCTGCTGTTGGTGTTGCTTCTCTTGGTCCGGTTTCAACGGGGTAGCCTCGAGCTCTTCGCGTCCCGTTTTTCTTCTTTTACTTTTTCTTTTTCTTTCTTTTCGTGTCTTTTTTTTTTTT